TTTCAAGTTCAGGTCTTAAAAAGAAAAAAAAAAGGTAAAAAAAAAAAAAAAGCCACTTAATTTTTCGTGGCTTCTTTATTTATCAGAAACTTAGCAAACGGCAAGCGAGAAGAAGAAGAAGAAGCATGAATAATAGCTTAGCAACGACGAGCGTAACAGCTCGAATGTCCCCAACAATACCACACCCCCACCATTTTCGCCAAACCCCAAGTCGTATCTTCTTCCTTCGACCCTCTCTTTCTCGCAGCACTACTCCAAGAATCGTTTGCATGGCGGTGCGTTAAAAACGAATGAGCAATTGATCAAGGCTCTGTAATTAAAAGTAGATATACTTATTTCTGTTTGGTTATGATACAGGAGCCATATTTGATAACCAAGCTGGAATCTGCTGAGAAGACTTGGAAAGAATTGTCCGTAAGTAAATTTGCCTTAAAAAAAAATTAATTTGATTTTTAACAGGAGGGAGGTTTTTGTTTTCAGATTTTTTTTTTCACTGATTGTGTAGGTGAAGCTGGGTGACCCAGATGTTGTTTCAAATCCCAGTGAATATCAAAAGCTGGCTCAGTCTGTGGCTGAGCTTGACGAGGTATATCCCATTTCTCTTCTCTCTTTTTTTTTTTTTAAATATAGATAATTAGGTATATTGTCTGGCGTCTAGTAAAATTTATCACATGAGGGCATTGAAAAAATTGCAAACTTCGATCAGGTAGAATCATAGTTGGGAGAAAAAAACAAAAAAAGCCTTCAGAATAGTAGAATAGCCATAAGCTAGCTTAACCAACCAAATCGGCCGAGTAGATAATGGGTGGTATTAATGTTATGACATATGTTTAGTTTCTTGGTGTACGTTTGGTCTGTTGGAAGACTCCATCTATTCAACGAAAGGTGTTTTTTTTTCTTTGAAAAAATTGCTCACCAATTAACTTGATTTTTTTAAAACTCGTCATGACAACAGTAATTACAGCTTGATAAACCTCTGAGTGTTTTACTATAGGGTTATTTGGGAATGCGGTTGAATTTGTGTTATTGAAAATTTAAATTTTTTTATTTTTTATTTTTATTAAAATTTAATATGATTTATATATTTTGAATTGTTTTGACATGCTAATATTAAAAATAAATTTTAAAAAATAAATTTTTTTATTAATATACATTTCAGTACAAAAAATTATTTAAAAAATAACCGTTACCCAACTTCAACAAACACACAAGTATTCTACACTTAGTTTTGCTTGAATTTATATAAACACTTATCTAATTTTTGGATTTTTTTATTTATTAATATGCACTTTTAATGATAAATTAATTAATCTAGTCTAATTTGGTACAACGTTGACTATAGAAGTTGACCATAAAATTACATTAATAAACGAGCAGGACATGTGACAAGCCATGATTGTCTCCAAAAAGATACGTGGATCGGAAATAGGTGCAAGAGGAGAAAAAGGACGGAAAATGACATTCTGAGAAAAAAAACAAAAAAAGAGGAGAAAAAACTCTCAAATAAATCACAGACAAATTAAAATTGTTTGACGACTAACCTAATCTAACCTAATAATAAATAAATAATTTCTTAAAGCGCGTACGTGCATGCATTTTTCTTGATTCCGATGAGGCCGTGTAAGACATGAGTGTTTTTAAATTGATGATATCATAGTTAGATAAATTAACATTAGTATTTGATTAAAGTATAATATCAACTAATTAATTTAGTGATTATATATCGACTTAGCTATATTACTTTATTTCACCTCCAAATCTATTGTTATTTTAGATTTTTACAAGCTAATGAACATTAATGCTATATATTATTTAATAAGTCAGAGTCAAAATTATAGAGTCAAAATTATAGAGGCAAAGTTATAATTGATGCTCCAAACATCATTTAATTTCATAAAACATAGAGTTCTACTTAAATTCAATCTTATCTTTATACATAAGTTTTCTAAAAAGTCATATCAATAACATGACCACTCCAATAAAATAACAATTTTAATCAAACTAGAATCTTTTAGTTATTTATCACTGTAGTTGTCGGCTTTTCTAATAGGTTATATATAGGTAATTTATCACAAATCAAGTAACTTATTACATAAATTTATTCAACAAAAATAAGTTAAGGACATGAAAAAATACAAGTTTATAATAATATAACATTAATTAATTTAGAATTTTCTAATTGCATTTGATTTTCACTTTCTTAACAAGAGCCTCTTAGCTTTTATCTTATAATTTTTTTTAATTTAAAAACTTATAATTTAAAGTACAAATTATTTAATTATCTAGACTTAAACTTTTCCTACTAAGCATAAGTATGTATATCATACTTGTCCATTAAGGATGCTAATGAAACTAAATTCAATTAAATAATAGTTTTTTAAATGACCACTTAATTATAGAGATCATCGAACATGAAACTTAAATATTAGTAAGCTTAGAAGTCATCTCATCAATGTCATTTTTCATGCAAAGTAAAATATAAAATAACTTATTATAAATATATAACTTCTATATTAAGACAAAATATTAATTACAAAGAGAGGTTGTCTTTATATCTTATAATAATTTTGCCTCGGGTTTTATTGAAGAAAAAATGCCTATTTTTTTGACCTCATTGATTGAGTCTTGGATGATAACGTTTGTATTAGATGATGCATCTTTATAATCATCACCTTGATAAAGAAGTATCTCTTTTATTAGACTTAAACTTGTTTCTTCTTGAATGCATGGAACCTAAAAAGAAATAATGATATAATGACAATTCACTCATATGAAATTTAAGTTCAAACAAAACCATACAAGCCAAATTTTCTAATAAACATGTCGAGAAAATTAAAACACCCATAAGAAGAGATAAAAAGAGAGATAAAGAGAAAGAACCTAGAACGAAACCCAAATTGCTCAAATATGATCCCAGAACCATTTAAAAATCATATGCTATTTCATAAAAAAAAAATTTAAAAATCATATGTTATTTCATAAAAAAAACAATTACTTTATTTCTTTTAAAAAATAACACATCTAAATTAATGCAAGTTGTTGCCCGAAACCCAGGCGACTAGGCAAACCCGACTGACACTCAACCTTTTTTTCTTTACACACACACATAGTCGAAAACAACGTATTTCGTTTTGGACTTTTGAAATACTGAAAGTTTTGACTCAAAACGATACAGATAAAGGATGAAGGATGCAAAATTACAGACAGAGATAACAAGAAAAAACAATTTCAATCACATAGCTGTTGTGCCCGTAAAAAACCTCCAACCTAAACACAACATCCCCTTTGTAGTGATCACTACTCGTTCCTGTAGATTCCATTAAAGATAACATCCCCGGTTTTGATTAGATCCTGCATTAAGACATGATTGTAAAAGCCCCTATTCAAAGTTCCATATGTGAATATTAGCGTTGTTGTTGATGCATGATTGCTATTGTTTTCTATTTTAATGCCCATATGTTTCTCTCTCTCTTTCTCTCTCTTGAAGATTTTATTTTCCTTTTTACCTTCTATTCTCAATTTAAAAAGAATGCCTATTTGTTGTTAATTAAAAGAGAATGTCTATTTGTGGTTGGAAAGCTGGAAAACAAATTGACGATAGAGGAGAATTGTATTTATTGAAGTTTTTTTTGGGTTGATTTATTCAAGTTTTAAGTTTTTTTTTTTGGGTCAACCCATCTAACCCATGACTCGATCATTAAACCAAGTCGACCACTAGGTCGGATTTTAAAACTATTCCAAAAGGAATATGTTAACAAATTTTGTTTTCTTTCTATAACCACTTTATCTGCATAAATTCTTTCTAATTGAATAAGCTACCATAAATAAATATAACTTAGAATGAGATAGCAAAAGAACAAATATTGATGAAGATTAATATCCCATCAAAGGCTATAACAACAATGGCATGCATATTTAGCTATTATAAGCATGTATTATTGCTCACTTGCAATGAAGGAAAAAAATAAATGAATAAGAACCATATAAACAAGAAATAACAAAAATGATATTATAGACCTAAAAAGGTATTAAATGGTTGATAATTAAGAATCAAGGCATGATTCTAGCATATAGTTAACAACATATTATATAAATAAAAGTTAAATCATGATTACTAAGACAAATTGACAACCATCACTATTCTTTTATTAGTATTAAAGTCACTAAAGAAAATGAAAGCACAAGCTTTTTCTCTCTCTCTCTCTCTCAATATTTATCCATCTACTCTTAAATAGAAGAAATAGTCCAAATAGAACATTAACTAAGTCAATGGAATATAATTGAAGTGAATTATTTACCAAAAAAAGCAATAACATGTAGGTGATGTGAAAAAAATAAAAATTAATAAAAAAAAGTACAAGTAAAACAAAATAAAATCATAATATTACAACTACCTAATTAAAGTAACAAACAACAAATTATTCAAGGTAAAAATGCTAAGCTGCGAAAAAGAAAGAAAGATTATATCCATATATCTCCAATGGCCACCAATTTAACAAAACCCATAAAACTCATATAGCAAATAAATCAGCCCTAAATGGAATAAAAACCCTAATCCTAGTTTAAGATTTAATAATGTTAAACTCTAAATTTATTAAAAAGAAAGAACAAGCATTCAAATCTAAAATGGGTGCTCTCAACACTAGATTTATGAGTTGAGTGGGGGAGAAAGGCTATCAAATTTAATTGTGAGGATGGATACTATCATAGTCAAGTAAGAAAAATAAGAAAAAAAAGAAGAAGAGAGTGAGAGAAAGGGAATTGTCCGGTTTTGATTCATTTTAAAATCATGGATGGAATTTTCATCAACAATTCTATCAACAATTTGAAACACCAACCATTCCAATAGAATTGTTAAAGGAATATTTTATTATTTTTTATTTTTTTCCATTTCCATAGAAAATTATTGAAAAAACATTTTCGCTATAATTTTTAATGGTATATAGTGAACATAATATTTTTCATTATGTTATCATTGTTTTTTTGTTTTTTATTTTTCTAGTAGTGATAAGAAATCTCAAACAATAACTTTTGAGCTTTATATGAAAGCCTTTATGATCATTAATTACTATGCATTTTTAACCCAATTAGAAAGGTCTTTAGAATCTTCTAGAAAACTTTCAAGCCAATTCAATGAACAAATCAAAAGTTATGTTCAATAATATATTCAATGAACAAATCAAAAGTTATGCTCAATAATATAAAATTATGTATTAAGAAAAAAATCTCTAACATAAGTCTTCCCGAGTTAAAAACATCTTATGCTCAAGTTAAAATTACTTTTGTCTTACTCTCAAGAATGTCCAATAAAAACTCTCTAGTTTTTTTTTTCTTTAAGTATATAAAAATTCTAGACATTAGTTTCAATCTCTTTTATTTTAAAATTTGTATATGAAACAATAATATATGAATTCTTTATCTTTCATTGGATTTTAAAAGAATTATTTATCTTCCATTGGATTCTAAAATAATAAATCTCAAACCTTAAATTTGAAATAAGTACTCTCCATTAGTTTATTTTAGAATACTAATTCATATCTATCTTGCCATAAATAGGATCCTTAAAATTTTCATGATACACGGTACTCATCTCGATCAAGAACTTATCTCATT